TAATTTTGATCTTCCCATATGGAATATTTTTTGTACCAAAAGGTTTAAAAAACTCCAACTTTTAGAAAATTGGATAGCAAGGCGTTATTACTAAATCCACTTATGACACTAGCTCAAACATTTTACTTGACAAGCTAGACTTTCCTCATAATTTTGATCTTCCCATATGGAATATTTTTTGTACCAAAAGGTTTAAAAAACTCCAACTTTTAGATAGATTATATGAGCTAATTACTAGTGGCGTTTTTGCCACTCAGCATCTTTGAACGCTAATATCTCATAAACTAATGAATGTAATGACCTCAAACTTTTGTAGCATTATACAGTACCTGCTCAACATCTCCATCCATTAGTTTGATCCCCACCCATATTCCTTCTCCATGTTGTTTGTCCGTCTGTCCAAGTTGTATTGTTCTCTTTATGAATGAATCAAAGGACTGCTCAGCGTTCATACTGAAAGGGAAAACACTTTCTTAGGGACTTGTTACAACTTAGCAGGGATTGGCGAGGGATATAGAGGAGGGTCAAAAGTCCTTCAAGGAGGTTTACCAAAGTAGAAATGATTGATTGTCAAATTTGCTATCAAGCTTCATCAAAAGACAAGTAAAAGACTGCATCATGAAATAAAAAATTCAATTAGGCAAACATGCTGACTTCATTGTACAAAGTCATCATGCAAGATCAGCTCTTTGAATACTTCTGAGACTTACGTGTGCAACTGGAGAAATGTCTCCTTTTTATCATCATCATCATCATATGTATTTTCACCAGATAAAATATCACCAATTTCTCTTACTGAAAGGATCAATTTACAGCTGGTTAGCTTAGCCGGTAGAGCACTGAACCAGAGGCCAGGAATTATAGTATATATTAGATATTTCAAAAAAGATTGTTGAATAAAATGACCACTGGCAATTGTGGAATGGTGATTGTACGATCAAAAGTAGTGGGTTTTGCTAGTAGGAAGGCAATAACAACTGATTTGTACTGTAAGATGGTCTGTGGTAAACATTGGCTCTATTTAGTCTCCATTTCTATGCAAAGTGAATCTAATAAGTGAAATTTTGTTTTCCAAAACAGTGTAACCATAGTCCCTTTAGGTCGTACATTTTATTTTCAACAATCGGCATTCGCCATTCTCCCCAACAACCTTTTTTGAAATAGCTATATATAATATTGGGCATTAGGTTATTTGCATAGAAGTCAATGAACGTGATCTAACATTGAGCCATATATCTTCATGTTTTGTTGTGATTATTATTGTTATTGTGGTTGTTATTGTAACTGTTGTTGTTTCTGCTGTTGTTGTTGATGTTGAGGTGGATATTATTATTGCTGTTATTACTATTCTGGTCATTGTAGTTGCAATTGTTGTTCTCATTGCTTGCGTTGCTGCTGCTCTTGTTGTTGTTGCTATTCTGGTTATTGTAGTAATTGTAATTGTTGTTATTGTTGCTGTTGCTATGGTTGTTATTGTTGTTATAGATTGTACATTTAATACTGACCTGCTATTCCAAATGCTCTTCTTATGTCATGTGAGAATTTATTTTTGGATTTTTCTCTCTTAAAATTTTCATCATCCTTGTGTTCCATGCAACCTGTTTAAAAAAACATTGGTTACTAACATTTGCAGTCAAAAGAGGGTTGTCATGGTGACTCGTAGTTAAGGAGCTTACTGCTAAGACAAAATATCAAGAGAGCTTGAGTCTGGTCATCATATTTATACGTCATATTGAAATCCATCTTGTGCTCTTGGCAGAAGATACAAGTGTGGCAATAAGAGTTGGATGTATTTAAAATTGATTGAACTTTGAGCCCATATCAAGTAGAGAATAAAATATGGTATGCCTCAAGTCAAAATTAGAATTAAAAAACCTTTACTGCTAAATTACAA